GGGACGAATGCGAATCTTTCATTTTTCGTGTACGTTGCCCCATTTTTCGTGGAACAGATTTTTAAATTCCAATTCTTAAAATTGACGAGTGAATTTCAATTCTTTCACGAATCAAACACTAAAGGGTGAAGCATTGCGTACAAATTCTTCGGAGGCAGACTCGATTTTTCAAGCACACTATTTCATGAATTAAAATCCCATATGCCACCAGCGTGAACTTAAACGGTGGAAAATGAAAACGCATCCACATCGAAGAAAGAATTTTGAAACGAGGAATGGATGGAGCGAGGGCCTCCCTGTCCCAGTCAACGTGGAGGCGAGGAGGGAGAGAACGAGAAGGAGAACACCAGGCAGGGCCGGGCGCGTGAGGCAGGGGGAAGGAGAACGAGGAGCTAGGAGAATGTAAGAGAGAATTCGCTCTTCTTTGTGAGTATTGCTTTTGTTTTTCAGCGCGAGGAACAAGAATTCGTTCGAGGAAAAGTTAAAAGCTTTGGATGAAGGATTAGAGGATGCGTTCCATGATCAGGGGATGAAGAGTCTGACACAGAATGAAATTTGCATAAAAAATTTGATCAAGGAATCATTCCCTTCAATGGAAGCTAGTCGAAATCTGTCCCCCAAAAAATGCAAATGAGACAAACCACTGACATTTCTCAACAGCCATATTTCGCAATCAAATTCGTTGGACGCCCCCCGTCATGCCCCCATCCTCCCCGACTCCAACCCCCGCCACTTCCCATCATCACAATTTTCCGTGAATTCGGCCTCATAGTATCCAAGAGGGACGCGTTTCGAATTTCAAACTAGAATGGTAAGGTGTACTTCGTGAGATGGGGAACACTATTTTTTTTTAATAGAAAAGTTCGACCTTTTTCTACGCCAAACGTCCAAATTGAATAAAGAAAAAAAAAAGAGAAAATATTGTGCTTGGCACCTGATGCAGATCAGGTCGATTGGATCGTCCCGACCCGCGGTTCGAGTTGTACATCACCGCATGTCACCTGTTCCTGGGATTAGAGTCCTAAGCGGGATGCTTTGAAGCCTGATTCGATCTGCGGGCCGAGCCCTCAAAGCTACGAGGTTCGTTCAAGAAGTTTTTTACCTGAGCCACTTTAAGTCGTAATACGCCATTCATATTTTTTTCAGAGAAAGAGAGATGTCTTTGATGAATGGAAAATTTTAAACTTATTTGTCTATGATGGAAAGCTTCTATGAATTTTTTTCAATGTGCCATCAAGGAGTCTGCTGAAGGGGTATTAAAATTGAAAAGAATGCAGCTATGAATTTTCTAACCTTGAAGGAGTCATTTTCCTTCTTGGATCTTGCAGAGTTGGGGTCAATAAAACAGTATCCTCTCAGCCGACAAAAGATCGGCTGAGAGACCGACTCCTTCAAGGTCAGAAAATTCATCACAGCATTTGTTTCAGTTTTAATATCCTTTCAGCATTCCCTTTGGTGGCACCTTGAAAAAAATTCATAGAAGCTTTCCATCATAGACATATAAGTTGAAAATTTTCCATTCATCAAAGACATCTCTCTTTCTATGAAAAAAAATATGAATGGCGTATTACGACTTAAAGTGCCTCAGGTAAAAAATTTTTGAACGCCCCTCGTAGTTTGACAATTTCGTTTCGAGAGTAGGACACGGAAGTTTGATGAAAAAAAACTAATTTTTATAATTTCAGGAAATGTATACTAAATTGAAATGTTTTTCTGGAATTCATTATAAAAATAAAGAGTGAAAATTCACTGGGAGTAGGGGGGGGATATGACGGGCGGTGTCTAACGAAAATGATGGACAACATGGCTGTTGGAAATGTCAGTGATTTGTTTCACTTCCATCTTTTTGTGACAGATTCCATTAGCTTCCGTTCAAGGGAATGATTCACGGGATAGCTCCTTAATCAAATTTCATGCAAATTTCCCTTCGTGACAGACTCTTCATCCCCTGATGATGGAACGCATCAACCCAATCATTCATCAAAGGCATATAACTTTTTCTCGAATGAATTTTTGTTCCTCGAGCTGAAAAGCAAAAGCACACGAAGAAGAAGCGAATTCTCTCTGACATTCTCCTTGCTCCTCGTTCTCCATCCCCCTGCCTCACGCACCCGGCCCTGCCAGGCACTCGCCTTCTCGCTCCCTGCCTCCTCGCCTCCACGTTGACTGGGACGGGGATGCCGTCGCTTCTTCCATTCCTTTCGTAAAAATTCTGTCTCCAAACGAAATGCGTTTTCATTTTCCACTGGTTGCGTTCAGACTGGTAGCATATGGTACTTTCATCGATCTGACAGAGTGTATGAAAAGTCGCGTTTGCCTCAGAATAATATTTGTCCAAAATTTCACCTGGCGGAATCGAGAAATCAAGTACTATGAGAATACTATGGGATGGAATTCCCTAAAATTCAGTCGAGAGCGAAACGGGGGTTGTTAAAGGACGTCACTGAATGTTACTTTCGTCAACGAGTGGTCGTTCAACATTTCCCCAGTGTGTTTCCCTGGACTGCTCTGAGACAGTGGTCGATTCTGTGTAATTATGAAAAGAAAAATTTCAAGAGGCATTTGCTAGGCTACACAATACTAGCCAACGTTTCTCCTCTTCTCTGATTCGTCGGACTGTCCTCCTGAGGCTTTCACTGGTAGACTTTTCCGAACCCGACCGCATCAGCTCGAATAGATTCATGGTCCGTACTCGACCTGAAATGGCCGACCGAGCCTTGCGGACCCGGCCCGCGGATCGGACCAGACCGTTGGCACGTTGCATCGGCATTCCATCTTCAGAAAACAAGACCTGCGAAGTAATATTCGCTGGCACATGACAGGGAAACTTGATTTTTGGCTGATCCGATCTTGCCGTCCGCATTCCCCTCAGGACACATAATTATCCCCTTCATTTCATGCAGTACCGCGGGCGTTCGAAATATCAAAGACGTGTCTCAATTGAGTGCTATGGAATGGAACTCCCTTGGAATTTACCGGTATATACAAAATGGTGGGGTTCCCTGATAAAGGAACTCTGGCTAACTATGCATCCAAAACGTAGATGTTTCATTTTCGAAAAGTTTCTCTGGAGCATCTTGTGAGACAGAACTCACGGAATGTTGTAATGAAAAGAAGTGAAGGGGAATGATGGGACGCGTCCAAAATTATTTTAACAAAATTTGGTTGTTCAAAATGTCAAAATTTGTCTCATTTGAATGCTTTGTGACTAAAGTAAATCAGCTTCAATTTTGACGACATGAACGTTTCATGGGTTACAATAGTTCATGAATGAAAACTCATTAAATTTAATTCCGTGATTGACTCGCGAACCCAAGATGATGGAACGCATCCCCGCTTACTAAAAAGGAAAAAAAAAAAACTTCCTACTTTTCCCCTGATTAATATTTTTTCTTGCGTTGAAAACAAAGGAAATTCTCACGATGAAGAAGCACGATGAATTATTCGCTAGATTCTCCTTTCTCCTTGCTCTCCATCCCAGGTACAGTCGCGTCTGGCCCTGCCAGGCACACGCCTTCTCGTCCCTCGACTCGTCGCCTCCACGTGTGACTAGGAGTGGGACGCCCTGCCTTCTTCCATTCATCTCTCCAAAGTCCTTCGCGGATGCAGATACGTTCTCATTTTCCACCTGTTGCGTTCTCGCTGGTGGCATGTGGTACGGTGGAGTTGGAGAGAATCATTTCGTCCGAATATGGAATAGCCACCATTTATATCGGCAATAGGGAATGCGTTTCAAATAGTTTATGTGGAAATAATAATTTTCTTTGGAAATAAAGAGTGAAACTACGACCGAATTTCCCTTTGAGACAAATGCTATTTTTCAAAAGTAAAACTTGACAGAAGAACCAGTTGCAAGCCGTGCGGACGCAATGTGTCGAACATTAGAAATCATTCACATCGGAGATCGAAAAATGGAATTTTGAAAAATGGAATGAAGAAGTGCGTCCCTCTCCCAGGGACAACGGGACTTGACGAGAAAGGGAACGAGAAGGCGAGTGCCTGGCAGGGCCGGGTGCGTGAGGCAGGGGGAAGGAGAACGAGGAGCAAGGAAAACGCAAGAGAGGATTCGCTCTTCCTTATGGGAATTGCTTTTGTTTTTCTGCGTGAGGAACAAAAACTCCATTCGAGGAAGAGTTAAAAGCTTTGGATGGATGATTGGAGGATGGGATGTATAATCAGGGGATAAAGCGTCTGTCATTGCATGAAATTTAATAACGTAATTGAGTAATTAAGTAATTGAGTGGAAATTTGCATGAAATTTAATTAAGTAACTAACCCCTGAATCATTCCTTGAATACCTTGAAGTGTAGCTAATCGGAATCTGTCCCAAAAAAATACAAGTGAGAAGAAAACACTGAACTTTTCAACAGCCATATTTCGCATCAATTTCGATGGACGCCCCCGTCATCCCCCCCCCCTTCATCCCCCCCCCTTCATTCCCGACCCCACCCCCTACCACATTCCTTCATCACAATTCTCCATGAGTTTGACATCATAATATTCTAGAGGGACGCGTTTCGAATTTCAAAGAAGAATGCTTTGGAACAATAATAGGTGAGGCGCTCCATCAACAGAGAAATGCAATTTCTTTTAATACAAACGTTCAAGAGTTCCACCCCATCACATTCGATAAGACTTGTCGTTGGAATTTGTAACGTCCAGGGTATTGAATGAATAAAAAGGGGATAATATTGTACCCTGCACCGGATGTAGATCGGCTCGATTGGATCGTCCCGACCCGAGGTTCTAGTTGTACATCACCGCATGTCACCTGTTCCTGGGATTAGAGCCCTAAGCGGGATCATTTGCAGCCTGATTCGATCTGCGGGCTGAGCCCTCAATGCTCGTTCGAAAATTTCATTTCGAGTGTAGACCACGACTCGAAAGAACAGAGAAGCGCCGGTCCTGGTCGTCACTTAATGAACCACGCTTGGGGCCACGCCGAGTTGGCTGACATTTGCGCTGAGAGGACTCCCCAACCTTACGTATAGTATATTTAGATGAATGTTCGCAACTCAAGTTATTGGGAATTTCTTGCTTATGAGACAATTATGGAACATTTTCCTCGCTTGTATTGAAGACTGATGCTTTTCGGTCACACGGAGCATCCGAATTCAATTCACTTATGAATGCGACTCAATTCCCTTACTTTGAAGAAACCGAGTGACACGCATTGGAAGGAGCGAGCAATTCATTCAACGATATTGATACAATCAGGATGTGATGGAAATGTGCCTTGCAATAGGAAGTGAAATTTCTATTCAGTTTCAGGCGATTATAACTAAATCAAAATGCCCCAGGATCTATTGTAGTAGCTAAATAAACCGTCGTTATGGTGCTTTCGAAATATTCACTCATCTTTTCTTTGGACCACCCTGTATAATGATCTTGTTTTGGAATAGCTTCACTTTGAAACATTTTGAAGAAGAGAAAGACTGCAAGATATGAATTTAAAATAAAGCACTGAATCTTTTCTGAGTAGCTTTTTGGAATTAAGAAATTTTTCCAATTACCCGAAATCCCTCTGTTCCATCGCTTCGGAATCTACGGCTAAGCCGTGAATCCCATGGAATTATGTTCTTGCATTGCGACATATCCGGCTTCGTCTACACAGTCTGGTTACCACGTGTCTCTCAGCGCCTCGCACGAGCGGATTCAAGGAATTGGAATCCGGATCCGGATCGTCCCCTGTTCCTCCTTGGGGTTAACAAGCCGGATCTATTGTTTCCCGACAATCGTACCAGAAATGAATCCTTGAGTTCCTTTCCTCCACAACTCATGGCTTTCAGAAGTCAGTCATTCTCCCGGACTCCAACATGAAGGATCTCGTCCCGATGAAGCTCCTCGCTTTCGTCTCCCTCCTCTTCCTCCTTCCTTGGGGAATTCTTCAAGCGCAAGCGGACTGCCCATCCACTGCACCTCCGACTCTCACTCGTAAGTCTCCTCAATGTCTAACCATCCTTGAGAAATAGACTAGGGTGCCGTTTTCGTCGTTATCGAAATTTCACTCCACACAGTCGAGCTATCAAGTATCAGTGAAGTATCGAATGTCCGAAATCCGGAAAAAGGAGTTTTAAGCATCCAACATTTTCGGACCTGTTAGGTTGTATCACATTTGCCGAGTCTTGGAATACAAATTCATGTCCGGCAAACTTTAGCTGACCAACCTTTGCGAATAAAGAAACCCTCACGCAGTCTAAAAATATAAACTGTATTAGGAAATACGGGGATAGTGCAAATGAAACGATCGCCCAACTTTAGATCAAATCACGAATAATTACCTGCAACTTCCAAGTGCAAACTCTGAGGATTGGTCAGTTTCCTTCGTATACACATTTTACAGAAGCATCTGAAAACAACTGCCGTATCGTCCGGTTCCAATAGTGATTACCTATGTTCGCAGGGTTGCCAATAATATATTTTCTAGTATCCAGGGTTGTCAGGCGTTAATGAACCTTGAGATCTAAATTCGAAATCCGTTTCTTCAGAGAAAGGGAACTGCATTCCCTTTACAATTGCATGGAATTTGGATACTCCATGGGATCGGAAGGTATCGGTCTTCGATGCATTTGGAAGTGCAAACAATAAAAACTTCCCATCATTTATGTATCGGTCACGAATTCCCGTGTGTCATTTAGTGACGACCCATAGCTGCGGGTCGTCCTTGTCGAAAAAATCCAGCATACTCGCCTGGCTGGGCCGCCTCTTTTCCGGATTCGTGGGAGCCACGCTGAGATCGTCGATCGAAGAGAGACAGGAGGCCCGCATCGTGGGGGGAACAAACGCTGCCATCTTCGGGGCACCGTGGATGGCCTACATCGAAGCGGTATTCCCCGAAGGACCAACCATCTGCAGTGGATCTATCGTCAGCGAGAGATGGATCGTTACCGCCGCGCATTGCATTGTCAATCAAAACAAGTAAGTCAATATTTTAGATTGGGTTTTTCCATTTCCAATAATCATTCATATCCGTACGACGTACAATGTACGACCAGTGTAGCGGTTACTTGCTACATCTCTCTAGTTAACATTTTTTAATATTCGAAATCTGACGTATTCCTCTGAAAGGTGCAGCTCTAAACTCAAATCCCAAAATCAAATTCAATAACATAACTGAAGGTATGGCCGTTTAAGTAAAAATTAGCTTTCCATTCCTTCGGATCGGAATCTCCACCAGAGTCAGGCTATTAAAATGGATTTAAATCCCACGGTACGAAGACTATAGTAAAGCAAATCTTGAACTGGATTTGGAAATCTTTGCAATTTGATGTGGAGGCGACATTAAGACTGAAAACGCTAACATAGACATCCCTATTCCATCAATTCTATATTCCACCTGAAATCCTCGTCTCTCGCCAAGCGAGATTCCCTGACACCGTTTTCTTAAACCTCATCACCTTTCTGCCTTGTTCCCGAAATCGAGTTGATTGAAACGTCGTGAAGCTTTGAAATCATTCCAGTTATTCATGATTTTAGTTGAAGAGTTTCATCGAACCGTTCATTTTCCCTATTTAGAGTCAAGGCCAGTTCAGTGACGGTTCGGGTGGGGAGTGCCAACAAGAATACTGGGACAGCCATCGCCTCGGCCAACTACTTCGCTCATCCCGATTATAACCCAGGTGAGACTTCGCTTTGGGGCGACATCCCTTAGTCGTCGCTGGGGACAGGGATGAATCTCGTTTCCTCTGTTCAGTGCCATACCAATAGTTACCCGTAACATTAAGTAATTAAATCCCCAATCCATTTATTGTTCATTTCATATATATGATCGGAATTCTCCTATTTTCAATAACTTAAACGAAGCATGCATCAGTTCAACGTGAAGTTTTGCTATTCAAAAATGAACATAGACATTAGTTGAATCCGGAAAATTAAAAACAGAAATGTCATGTGCATTTCTTTCATGGGTAATAAATAGAGCTGTCACGATAGCAGTTTTCAAAACATCGATGCATCGACCTGAACTATCGATAGTGTACCGATGCATAGTGTGGGGGGGGGGGCAGGAGGATTCCATCTTTTCTCACCGCGATCGGAGCGCAGACCTCCATCCAGCTTCTAATATCTCACGCTTGTTGTCGGGAGTGCAGGGGGGGAATGTATGACCTTCGCAAAGATATAATTAAACCTACCATGTCTCCAACTATCGAAGATGATATCCATTCATCGATTGATGCATCAGGACAACCTTAGTTTTTCCTATTGCTTTTGCGAATCAGCTGGGAAGCCCCGTTCACGTAATTATTTTTCTCATTTTCTTCGTTCTACAATGGCTTTGGACATTGGCACTGCCAGATATGAAACCTGCTGATGGTTCCATACCGGCGGTTGCCGAAACGTCGGAACAGCCCTAGTATTAGCATGGTGCAAAAATAATTGCGGTTTTGTTATTTTAAACTTTGATGCTTATTTTGGAATAAACTTTTATTTAACTATGTTCATGTAATATACCATTATAAAGCGCGAAATTCGCTCTAATTATTTATGCTAATGGTTTGTTTTCGCTGATCATTCTTGTTTATTTTAGGCTGTCAAATTAAAGATTGAAAAAAGCAAATTCGAGCGATTTCATTGTATGAGTTCGGAATGGGACGTAAAGCAGCGGAAACTGCTCGCAATATCAATCAAGGATTTGGCCAGGGGACCGTCAAAGAACGTACAGCTCATCATTGGTTCCAAAAATTTCGTAACGGAGATGAGAGCCTTGAAGATCAGGAGGGTCTCGGACGTACTTTTGCGATTGACAACAACCAATTGAGGGCCATTATTAAAGCGAACCCTCGCAAAACAACTCGAGAGATACCAGAACCAAACGTCAACAGTTGTTCGACATTTGCACTCAATTGGTAGATCAAAAAAGCTCGACAAATGGGTGCCGCACGAGCTGAACGAAAATAAAAAAAATTCGCCGTTACGAAGTCTACTTTGCGCTTCTTTTGCGCAACCCCCCTTTGGTTGTCGTATAGAATCCATTTTTCGTCACATGTCACAGTGCGATCAAGAAATGGATCTCCGTTACGAATTTTTGGAAACAATGTTGAGCTGTACGTTCCTTGACGGTCCCCTGGCCAAATGCTTGGTTAATACTGCGAGCAGTTTCCGCTGCTTTACGTCCCAAAGTGAACTCATACAATAAAATCGCTCGAATTTCCTTTTTTCAATCTTTAACTTGACAGCCTAAAATAAACAAGAAGAAACAGTGAACACAAACCATTAGCATAAATAATTAGAGCGAATTTCGCGCTATAAAATGGTATATTACATGAACAGAGTTATAAAAAAAAGTTTATTCCAAAATAAGCATCAAATTTTAAAATGACAAAAACCACAATTATTTTTGCATCAACCTAAAATGAGCAACGTCTATGTATAATATTCACTCTGAGTTTACCTTCAGCAGAGATAAATGCCCTAGGGCAAGTTAAAAATTAAGAACATTAAGCCTGTATACTAAAATTAGAGGAATATAGAGAGCGGATTAGCCAATGTAGGTTTCGAAATCAAGGGAGCATAAGAATAGTTCACTTTCGTCGTATACACCTGATTAGGTCGAGCCAAAAACAGAAACCGAAGAGAAGAAATTTTTTTCTCGGTCTTCCCGCCTCTCGTTTTTCACTTCCTGCCTCCGATCCAACTTTTTTTTCCCTTCTCAACTTTCTTATAATCAGTCCCAGTATTTCCGGAATTTGATTGTGATAATAAATCGCAAGCCCATGCGGGTCAGGCCTCTTCTTCCTTTCCCTCCCCAGACGGATTGTATTGTACTGGACTCGCCTCAATTCCAATGAGACATTTCCCCTTTAAAATACTTTGCCGATGCATCGCAATGGTCGAAAAAACTATCGATATCTCCAACTATTGATAGTGGTATCGATGCATCGACCTATCGTGACAGTCCTAGTAATAGCAGCATGGGTTTCCTTTGCTGACAGGTGAATTTCTCGGGCACGAAATTCCTTCCCACCCCCCCCCCATTTAGCTTCTCTTATGAGGGGAATCACATCCCACAAGTCGCTCAACGACTGGCGGAAATTTTCTTTAAGTGTGGAGAAAGGAAATGTAGTTTCTCTGTCCGTTTCCCCTTTCAGCTACTTACAACATGACCGGCTCCGCCGGCAATGACATCGCCCTGATCCAGCTTCCTACGAGTCTGACGTTCGGCACGACCATCCAGCCGATCTGCTACCCCTCAAGCGACACCGTCACGGGATCGACCATATCCACCTGCGACCAGAAGGTCTTCGGCTGGGGGACCACCGATAAGGCCAATACGATATACGCAACCCTCTTGCAGACGCAAAATGTCACTGTGGTCGCCGACTCCCCGGATTGCTCCTCCTTTACGGGAGGGAGGATCATCTGCGTCCAGAGCGATGTCTCCGGCAGCGAAGTCTGCGACGTAAGTTCCGCAAGTCCACTCGCTGCATTCACACCGCATAAACCATTCTGGAAACAACTATTAGAGGATTAATTCAGTAACTTTCATATCCAGTATTCGTTAGATGAGGATAGTCTCTGTTTTGCAAATGAAAAAAATCACCACAATTCATGCTTTCAGGCTTTTCCGTCGTATGACGTCCTACTCCAATAGCGCATTCAATTTGTCAATTTTAAAAGCTTCAGGATGGTAGGGCTTGTCTTCCTTCTTCCTCTTTTTAATTGTTCAGAATTCAGGTTCGCCATCACAGCAAACTCACGGTCCTCCTGAAACCAAGTTTAATGAAGTCACTAACGTTAGGTCTATCCTTCACCGACGGACTGTCTTCGAGTCAGGCCAAGGCCTACCTTTTTCCGTTCGAAAGAAACTCAATTCTCGACCTGTGGCTCATCAGGATTAATCCTTCGTCTTCCAGATACTTCGTCGAGGACGAATAACGTTAGGGCGATCGCGAGCCTATTCAGTCTCTCATGGCCCATTTAACAGAGAAATTGCAACATTATTCCGACTGTTGGTCCTTTGGGAGTTTCACGAACCATTTCAGAGCGGTCGGGAACATTAGGCCTATCGAGAGTTCCTAGAACCATCTCGACTCGTTCCAGGAAAAAAGTGCCTCTAGAAATCACACATACATGCTGCCGCCATCATGTTAGTTTCTTAATGTCGGGATGAGATATCTCCTTATTCCACCAAATCGATCGGCCACTGCAAACACTGATTGAATCTCAGCTCATCACATGGATTCTCCTCAGCTATGTTTCCTACATTAAAAAGAGAAGATCTAGCCAACGATACAAAGGCCGAAGAAGTTATGGATCTGATAACAACGCCAACATGATATCTGGCAACACTGGGGGACGGGACCGGTTACCATTGCGCTAAGTCGAAATTAACGGCTTCTAATTTCATTATTTCAATGGCTCACTGGAAGAAAAAAAATTTAATTGCATTTCGTCACATCCAGGTCAATCCCTTGGTGGGTAAAAAAATAAATAAATAAATAAATAGGTACCGGAACGAAATTCACATCCCTGAAAAGCGAGATTGAGGGATCTCCAAAATCCGGTTCAAGAAAATTTTGGTCTCATTGATTCTCTCTGCGAGGTACACGACAAGGTTGCATTTAGTCGCCGAAAAGTGTTAAAGACAGGTAATGGGCACTACGAAAGCCCATGGATGAGTTCATGAAGGCATCATTCCTACGAGAGTTGTAATTAAAAGAGGAAGATTTTAATTGCATATGAAAATCAGAGGGGTTTATGGAAAATGTTCAAATTATGTAAAGGCCTAAACTTTCTTCCGAAATCCAGGCCATATTAAAATATGTTTCCTCTTTCTTTCCCCGCACTGCAGGGAGACGACGGCGGACCCCTTGTCGTGTGGTACGCCAACCGCGCGTACCTCACCGGGATGCTCTCCTTCGGGCCCTTCCCCTGTGTCGGAGCCAAGCCTGACCAATACACCAGGGCTTCCACATACGCCGATTGGGTCAAATCTAATGTCAATCCTTGATCGAAGCAAGCAAGTCGGTCGACATGCAGTTTTCCTGGCGTTTTGATTTTTTTATTACTGAGAATTCGTTACAAAGAAGTATGCACAAAGGAAACTTCTTCTTTGCCGGCATTGCACTGATAGCACTCGCACAAATCAAATTCACATGACATTCACGCCCAACACGTCTTGCAAATCTTAATGGAAATTTCATTAACTTAGTACTCTCCAAAGGCATTGCCGAGAATGTTCTGTCATAATCATCGCATTGTTCCGATCCGATTCACATTTCTTTGGTTTTCGATTTCCGAATATATATTCCGAGGAACGTAAATTCGAGTTGCCATGGTAGAAGGGCACTTTTTTCTTGGACTTCAGCGTTGCACATTTCAATTGCATATATGCATTGCTCACTCTTATTGCACGTTTGTATTCCTCCTTCCTATTGCACTCCCAGAATTTTTTGCACCGCGTCCAACACTTTCATCATCTGACTGTGACTCCAGAACTCATCGCTTTCTCAGGCGTTCAGTAGATAGCCCCTCAAAATATTTCAAACTTCTCCCCATTTTCGCGGCATATTGCCATCCTATGAGGATGGAACCCGGCAGAAGGAGATTCCATGTTCAACTGGCGAAGGGGATCCAAGGGGGTATGCTAAATTTTCTTAAGTGTCTGCATGACGCTTATACGGACTCAAGTTATTTCATATCTTTCCAGATGCTTAGAGCGTAATAATTGAACTACTAGGAATAGCTCCTCACCTAAAATGAGATAAATCTGGGGATGGTGCTAGACATGTAAATCCTCCGCTGGACTTAATGGGTTGCGCCATCTTAGCACTCAACTCCAATTCTGTTTCAGTATAGGAAATTCAAACTCAATAGGACTCCTCAAGGATCTTGGAACTCAAAAGAGTACTAATATCCCATCTGGGGAACCTTTCTTGGCCGGACAGACACGTGGATCGGAAATGGTGAATTGCGGACCGGGAGCATGCTGTGAATTACAAGTTCAAAGTAGAAAGTGTGATCGAAATCGAGCAAGGAAACGCTCCTCCCTAGTGTCACGTATTTTTCTCCATAGGGGCAAAATACATGAAACTTTCCTGCAAAGAAGGTAGAGAGGAGCCCCCGGAGCCAGCTGTTGACAATGCACACATCAGAATGCATCCTCAGATTCCTGTGGATGACAATGAGGTGATAATAAAAGGGATAATAATAAGTTGGGACAACGAACAAATACAAGTGGGAAATCTATAGAAGTAGTACGGTAGAAGAAAATTGTCCGTATGTATTCCCATGCTAGCTTGGGTAAGAGACGGCCAAGCCGATGAGAGGTAAGGGTGAGAGGGAATGATAATGATGACTATTCCATGCACTCGAACGCGGGAAGAGTCCCGAAACCGGGAGGTTGATTATCAATATCTTCACGAACACTTGAAATCCAATTAATTGCAGGAGGAGCAAAGTACTGTGTTCAGCGATATCAGCGTCGCCTCTCGAGTCCAGCATCAATTCTTGTCTCCTCTTCGAAACTGAAGATGGCCTGACGATGGTGAATCTCTGATTTTTCATGTTACTTGCCCCATTTTTCTTGGGCCGATTTTTAAATTCTAAATCTTAAAATCGGAGCGTTTTTCTCCAAACCTATCATATTTCTATTTTCATCAGCGGCGTATCGTCCGGAGAACCAGGGGAGAGGGGGCACGTGGCCCCCCACCACCCCAACTTCTCAAGAATAGAAGTAAATAAATAGGGAAAAGACCCCAGATATGCATGATATGGCAGAGTTTCCGAGCCCCCCCCCCTCCCCCACACACTTTTTCATTCATGCTACGCTTATGATTTTCATCGACGAGGTCTCTGCTCCTCGAACTCAAGCAATAAGCTAACGAAAGACAAGGTTTCATTCAAAATACTAAATAAAAAAAATCGTAATTTTCTTTCCATTTCCTTCGAATTACTGTATAGGAAATAACTGCCATGAATAAGCAATCCTCATCTTTTATTTCACTTTTTGTTACTATCCCACGTCAGCCTATTGGAAGTGGAACCAGTGAACCACCACGAATAGAAACGATGAATGAATTCATAATTTCTATTCATTTTCTATTCGACATTCTAGATTCATATAACTAAGGCTGTACTGAAGGCCACCATAGCCTGGTGGGCCAATGACGTATTAACATCTCATAGTCATCGCCGGTGCCGATTGTCGTCTAAAAGTTGAGGAGTAACAGAAAATCGCATTCTAATTCAATAAAAATAAAAATCCATCCCACAGGAAGGAACAGCTTGTGATTTTGGAGCGCTTGCGCACTGACAGCAATGAACGCATTCACATTAGAAGACCTTAAGAACCTGAACGCTGTTGATGAAGGAAACAGTAATTTACAAATGTCCGTAAATATTGTCCTGCAAAAGTATGATGAAAACTTGCATTGAAAATCTTAAAAAGTTTAAATTGCTATACAAGGATTCGAAAACGAATTTTAAAATAAAAACGTGAAACCACATTTACTTCTTTGAGAACGAAGGCCATCTAGATCAGGATCTGATCAGAGGTGAGTTTAGTTGTTTGGCGGGTTTCGAATTGCGAAACGATTGGCGAAAACTAGACTAAGGGGCAGATCTAAATCCCGTCAGAGACGTTAACAAAAATAAAGCTCTGATGGCAAGAAGTGGGCTATAACTAAAACCTACAACATTTTGAGTGCTAAAGTCATTGCGGAGTTGAGTTTAGGAGCAGTGTTTTATTGTTTCGAATTCACGTCAAGAACTACGTTTTTTCTTCTCTTGTCGGCTGCCTAGCTTCTCTCTGCTTTATCTCGAAAACGTTTCGGTTTACGAAAAATTCTGCCCAAACAAGACTTGTAGTCCAGAGTGTGCCCTAGCCAGTGGTATAATTTATTTTGGTTGTTTGATCTTATTTATGTAAGATAAACGTATGCAAAGGATAATGCCTCTATCATGCTCCTCCCTTTTCGTCAGGACCCCCCCCCCCCAGGCCCATTGTTGAGTACAGGAGCACGTGGCATTGCTTCTTGAATTCAAAGGCACT